AATGTAGGACTTCTGCTTCTCCACCGAGCCGTGCGTGCAGTTGTCACTACCCGCTTCTCATCTTCCAACTTGCTCTGGATCATATATCAGGCTCATCTTCACTTTCGGCGGCAGCGGTGATGATGGGAAGTTCAGGGAAACACCATTTTGAGGCAAGAACTGAAAACGTGTATGTACATCCGTTCGCTGGACCTGGTTCTAGGGCCGCAATCCATCCAATGCCAAGCTTCGGTCCTTTGTATACAGACCCTCGACTCAAACGCCCTTGAAATCCTCCTTGGTCGGAGCCATAGATGTCCATGCGCATTATTGTCGTGCACCCCGACCGAATCAGGTTTGCTCACAGCTCGCGGCTCATTGCTCGAAGATGATCGTGGAACTTGGTCGCAGACTCAGCCCCCCGAGCGAACAGTTTGGTCCGTCACTTATTCTATGGTCGAGAGAACGGAGATGGGCCCGGGAAGAAGGGTGAGATGGCAGCGTGGCGAGGACTGCCAATGCATGCGTGGGGTTTGGGGGGTGCCATCAGATAGGCATACCCATGGTCGTTCGTGGTTACCTACCTTTCTCGTTCGGGTTCTGGATCGAGTTGCTGCACCAGTGGGAACATGGACCTGGTGCCTCCGGCCAACCGACGCTCTGCCCGCTCACCTTTGGGTCATGGTCACGTCACGATCGGCACAGTTTTACTCTAGAGCAATACGTATACGACGTTGGTAATCTGCATGTCGCAATGAGCATTTTCTTCTATCGGCATGGGCGGTCTACTCATTCCAAGCCATGTGCTTTGACGTCGTTTGGTATGGTCGGACGCTTTTGCCCGGTGCATTCCCATGCCAATCCCCATCGGACATTTTGGGCTACTCACCCCACTGGCCCGTCGACTGGGGCTGCGTCTCCGCCAGACATCGTCGATCTCTGCTAACGGGAAGAAACAAGGCTGAGGATACTGCCCAGGCCATGAATGATGAGGCGGAGTCTGCTTTGCTGGAACACGCATGCTAGCGTGGGCAAATATGTACAAACCACGCCAACGCAAGGCTCTACTGCCAAAAAAATAGAATCATCTGGTCAATATCGGGGACACTACATGAGATTCAGCATCAAGAAACGAGGTCGCGCTGAGACACATTACAATTCATCTTCCTCTTCCTTTGACATTATCCGATGCAGGCATATGCAGTTCACCCTTTCTGCCACACTCTTCCATACGCTGTCAGCCTTGAATTCCACGTGAAAGAAACCTTCCTTCATCGGTCTCCGCAAGCATGACCCCAAAAGGCTACAGTATCCCTCCATCTGCACTGGCCCGATGCAGTCTCGTCCATGTAGCCAGATGATCAAAGTCTCGACATTGGTGCCGTGTGCCCCAACCATCCACACTAGCGATCTTTGCGCCACCAGGCCCATTCTGCAAGGTTTCCAACGTCTTGTCTGACGCGCGCATGAGAGCTTGGCGGAGGTTGTCGAAACAGTGCTTCATACGATCGGGTAAGTGATGATGATGCGATGTGTGATTGCTGCGCATGTGATTGGAGGAGGGAGCATCAGCTGTTGCGGAAGTAGCGTGGGCTGTGTAATACCCTGTTCGTAGCTCGTTCTTGATCCAATCATTATTGACCCTTTCTCACAATATTGGTGCAGATTGAGGACGACACCCCAAGCAGGGAAGTTGGTGGAACGCTACCACCGATCGTATGTGTTCTACGTCTAGTCTCTTGCCTGCATACCACAGGCTTGACGCGGGAATTCACAGCGACGAAGCCTCTGCCTCCTAGAGAGATTGTTTTTCAGCAGTCTTTGTCTGAGAGGAGTTCTGAAAGCCACTTACAAGGTAGGAGACGACTCCATGCCTGATCAGTCTTCGGAGAAGGCGCCTTGACAAATATGTCGTGTGATCTGAAAGTGATGGCAAAAGGAGCAGGACCGACTATGAAGTATAGCAAAGTTCGGTCAGACCTTGGTTTAGAATTCAAGCCGAAGAAAAGTCCCTTGTCCCCTTACCAATAGTCCAAGAACCGAGACGCTTCGGATGATTGGATGCATGTGCTCCCACTAGGAGACCTAGAATGGCGCAAATTGCGCAGCTCAAGAGAGGCACATGCAATGGCTACGTCACTCGCTTTCAAGGGGGGGTCAAGGTTTGGAAAACCACACTTTTGATGCTTTCACTCGGTTCCTTTTCAGGTTTCCCTATACTCCATGAGCTTGGCACAGAGCTGGTCCCATTGTATTGGATTGCCAAAGCTAGTTACCCAACGACCAGAGACCACATAAACCCTTTTGATCTACCGTGATCTGAAACAAACTTCTCCGGTGACGCGATCTTGGGATTATCTGGCATATACCAACCCTACAGAACCCCGGATGGAGTTTTCCCTCCACTTACGCGAGCTCAGTCTCAGGTCCAAGATCCGGGGGGCCCGTGGACGATCCTCACGGAAGCCGCCAGGATACGCCGGATCTATCAAACTAGTCAACATTACGTTCTTGCGCCAAGGATGGCTGAGTCAGTCTTACCCAAGGCTCCTCGAGAACGTCAATGGCTCGCCGAGCAGCCCACTCCATGGGTCCATCCCAATCAACGCATGTATGCTCTAGGGTAAACTCCGGCTGTGGCAGTTTGACGGTCTGACCCCGGTGAAACGTAATCAGGGTCGTGTCACCGCGGCACTTGACGCTTTGTCTGAGGATCTCGATACAGTGCTCTAGTGTTTGCAGGCAAGGTCCTCATAGTCCCCACTCCTGTCCAAGGCTATCAGGCAGGAAACACAGGGAATTGTATATCTATATGCCTCGCATAGTTTCTTTTGCGCGCTGGCCAACTTCTGGACTAATAAGGTTGGGGGCGGCGTTGAACACATAGTATCATCTTGGAGAGCCTCTTGCGCCGGGCCTGCTATTCGCTCCTGTGTCATTCTTTGGTTCTTCAACGGAGTCCAATTTAGCATACCCTAAGTCAAAAGGCAATGAGGGTCTTCCTCCACCTTATTTTGACTGCGGACGATAGTCAATCTCACGAGAGCGTTTATAGCCAAAAACATGAGATGTAGGGCAATAGTTTGAGGATGTCTTCGATACCAAGGCGTGCGATCGAGATGATTAGCTCTGCCATCGTCGAGCTCGAGGCTATTGCTCCTATCATCCAGAGGGATTTTTTGGTATGCATGGCGAGATAAGGGCGCTTTGGAGACTCGAATGACGGTTCTCAGGGAAGCAATCTTTTGGGCAGCATCGACTGCTTTCGAAAGCTTTTGAAGTGCTCTGTCTGAACCCTTCACATCACATAGCTACGAAGACGCTCCGACCCACCGGGACTGAAGATGTCCGTCCGGCAGATGGTTGGTGCGGATGGCATTTTTGGATTTGAGATGAAGATTCCAGATTCTCGGATCACATGACGGATTGCTCGACGCCGATCCAGACGAGCGCTTTGATAAGCCTGATCACAGGGCCATTGAACCTAGAGCATGCACATACACCCTCTCTCCAGGGGAGAGTCCAGCACAGGCCTGTGTGTGTAAGCTGAGCAGGAAACCCGATCGTCCGTCCGTGCGGGGTTCACATATGCATCATGCATACAGTTCGCATCTGCGGCCCGCAAATCTGGCGGTGCGGTGAAGCTACCACTCAATTTCTACTCCACGGTTCGGAAACTCAAACGTAATAAAGCTTGCATCGAACACATGATTTTTCATTTCACGCGCAGCGCTGTGGCCTTTGTCTGGTGATTTCCTCTCCACAACCTACCGGGAGAATTCCAGCTTTGTCTGACTTACCGTCCTGCTTCTGAGCCAACAATTCTCAGCCATCCACAATAAGAATGTACCTATCGCACCTCTTCTGCTGGTCCCTGGCCTTAGCCTCAGGTGTGACCGGCATGCCTCTGGCGCCGGTACCTGGGAAGGAGTGATCACCAACAGTTGTCCGTACATGCCATCTGTTGCTGATAAGTCTTCGGGGACTCTAACGATCGAAAAGCGTCAAGACGCTGATGCTGCTCATGGAGTCTAGGAGAAGAGGGATGCCGCGTATGGTGTTTACGAGAAAAGACAGGACGCGGATGCTGCGTGCGGGGTGTGTGAGAAAAGATAGGATGCGGACGCCGCGTGTGGTGTTTATGAGAAATGGTTACGCCAGTAGCGCAGCCTGATAGTTGAGCTTCCTCGTCGCGAGATTAGGAAATGGATCAGGGGATATGAAAGAAGGCGTGGTCAAGGATACCAAATTGCCGGTTCTGTATAGTCCATATGCTTCAGTCACCACTACAGCTGCAACGTGATAGTGTTGAATGGTGTAACGGTTGGTTTGTTGTTATATGGAGGAGTACTGCGGTTTGTAGTATGTGTCAAGCATATTGGGCTGAGAGGCTAACACTTCTAATATATAGTGTACGGCATTTCCATGTCTTATATGGGTCACATTTTAACAGTAGATAGCTTTCATCGCTGTCCTGGCACTTGACGCCCCGTTTCTTTTATTAGCCGGCCACGGTACGCGGTACAACAGACCTTTAGGATTCAGAGTGCGGCGTAGAGGAAGCTGGATTTGGCTGACCAGCTGATCTTCCGTGGATCGACTCAAGAGGATCGAGCGGGCCCTTAATTCTCGTTGGCAGGCCTTCCCTCTCAGGATCTATAAGGCGAGGTTCCCTACAAGTTTTTTGGAATCGGTCCGCTTGAAGTATCCATCATCTTACAGATCTCCATACTGTAGATCTTGCCCGCCGTGACGTCGCCTTTGAGCACAAACCAAAATCGTTGATTAAGTCACGGTAGCAGCTATACAATACGAGATTCTGAGACCCCTAGAACCCTTGAGACAGGAACTGACCATCAGATCGCAACAATGACATATAGCTGAAGGAAACTCGAGGATGTACGACGGGGCGATGAACTCATTACCATCGATCGGTAAAAGTTGCCTTCCAGCCTCGGTGACCAGTTGAAGCGTCGGGGGTTAATTTGCAAACACTCCCAAAGCCACGATAAGGCTAAATCTTACACCACATTCCTCGTGGACGTGGCTGCACGACTTTCGTTCCACCCGTACTCCTCATCTTTTCCCTTTCCATCCTTACTGCGGTCTTCGAACCTGGTGTCCATCTCCGTGACCTCCAGAATTCTGTTCGTGGGCACGATGTTTACCCGGCTACTGTTTTCGTTCGGCCAGCTGTCCGCTGCTCCACGGCTCGCACTGTTGGCCGGTCGCACAATCTTCGTGGGAACGGTCTGAAGCTCGTAGGAAGACTCATGGCGTGGACTAGGGAGCTTGCTGTGAGATTTCCTCGTCATGGAGACCCTAACCTGGATATTGTCGAACAGGGTTTTGAAGATAGGGCGAAGAGTCGGAAGGCAGGCGGCAAATATGATCACATTGACTTCGAGGCTATGGATGGGTGTCGTCGTGAGTGACATGGTTTGAAAATTGAGGTCAAAGTGTTGGTACTCACGCGTTCCAGATCAGTAGGTCGACCGTGATCCCTAGTGTGCCATCAGCGGGGTTCAGACCTCAATTGATGCTTGCGGTCATACAACTGAAGTCGGAGTGAACGGTCAATGTTGGCAGATAGGAGGTCTTCACGGCCGCACAAATGCCAGCGCTAGATCAAAAGGATCCGGTTAGACGAACATGCCAGGGCCGCATACGCCAGAGAGGTTTCTTACAAGAATCCCAAGCCGAGAAGGGCGCTCAGACCAGCCTTTTTTCTCTTGTTCAATTGTAGGTTCCAGATCATAGTGATCCCAAATATGGCAAGGGCAAAGTCCACAAACACAAACCAGCCTTTATGTAATGTCAGCTGAGCGGTAAAGTTTGCATGGAATCCTAGACACACATGCAAGCGCCACGTCGAGATCGTTTATCTTTTTTGGATGCGGGCACTTGCCTGGCGAAGGTATCCAAAGCGCCTTTGGTGGGGAACATTGGGCGAAGATGGAGATAATAAATATGCAGGCAGCTATGAATGCGGAGATGGATAGGAAGTAGAGAATCCTTTTCCTCCATCTATTCGGTGCCATAAGTCGGCCCATCAGGATTGCAACCGAGATCTTGCCCGTCGCAATGGCCATGATACAAAATGTTTGCGATACCCAGTTGAACAGAGTGGTCTCCTCGACCTGTGCAGGGGTCAAGTACATGAAATGACGAGCGCCGCCTTTGGCTGCGTAAAGCGTGAAGAATACAGAATAGGTTATTGTGAGCCCCTAAACTCACGTGTCAGATGCTTCTGATCATTGTCCTCCCCTGGGCTTCTCGAACCATGGTGCAAAATATAACCCAATCATCCCACCACAAATTTCGCGTGATCCATACCCGAGAATATACCCTGAGACCAACAACTATCAAAGAGAGGGAGCAAAAAGCCCAAGTGACTATCACCAACTCATCAGCCCGATTGTGATCTCCCTCTGGCGAAGGAGGCGGCGCTGCCATTGTAAACGGTAAAAGCGAGCGAAGTAACGAGGTTTGCCAGATGAAGATGTGTGATCTTGGGGCAGATAGACCCCTGCTGTAATCTACGGAAATAGGACGGAGAAGGACGCGATTTATAACAGTCTCTTACGCAGAGCTAGAGCCTATTTGCAATTTTGAGAACGTCATGGAACCGGTGGTGGTCACCATGCCGTAACTCTGCAGTGTTACTTCGGAAGTTGAGTGTCTGCAAGACGGCCAAGTCAAGTTCTTGTGGAAAACTTTGTGCGTGCACACAGTGTACCCTCCAAAGCTATCAGGTATCCATACTCGTAAAGTGGGAGCAGGGACGTGGCAGTATCTGTGAAGCAGATGCTAGAGGGTAAACAAAGTATGTACGATATCTCGGGCTGGACAGCGTGAATTTTCTTTTGTAAAGCTGATAGTGAGCCGTACCTACGCCTTCTGATTGGCTAATTTATTACTCTCGACGTTGAATTAGCGGATTTCAAAGGGATCTGATAAGTGTCGGCCCTTTTCGGTATATATACATCCCTTGAGATCGGGCTGATGTGAGGGACTGTTGGAATAAAATATGCGCGCTGAGCTCCTCGGACATACGTAAAGGTGTGAGGCATTTTCTTAAAGGGTGTCGAAGGTTGCTTTATTTTGCCATAATTCTGCAGGGGAACGGACCCGTCTCTAATGCAACCCTACAGAAAAGGAAGTAGGGTCTCACTTGAGTTTCCCGTCGAAACCCCGTCCCAGCCCAGCCTATTACGCAGCGTAAACGGATCCGACTGCTTGGGTGCTTGACGGTGTGATGCAATGTCGGTTAAAGTTGCTGTATTTCAAGACCACTTTGTACGAAGCGAGTTCGACTGCTTTAACAGGCAATGATGTGAGAAATTATATCCGATGGAAGGGGTGTACATATATCAAAAAGGAGGAACACATATTCGGTCCGATTTGAAGTCGCTATGGTTTGAATGAATTATGGGTGTGAGAAATCTTCTTAGATGCAGGTCAAAGCTGCTGTGATTTAAGACAATCATGCATAAAGCGGACTTGACTACTTGGACAATTGATGATGTGAGAACGCACTTGAAAGTGTTGAAGACCATCCTGCAGAAAGCGTATCCGACTAACTCAATGAGTAATGACGTGAGAGGCTTTCCTCGCTGCAGATGGAATTTGTGAGCCAAAATCGCGCGTCCCATTAAGACTTGACTCTCAAGGATTGATGTTGATGTTCATAGAAAAGTGAGCTCAGGTTTGAGTATAAGTATCTGCTAGCGTCATCGTCTGTTCTCCCGTGAGCTAGTATATGCTATACGGCTAGAGTCACATCCTTCGATGACAAGCAGCATCCAATATGGCATGGAGAACAGTACCTGTTGGAATCAGCCAATAGGAGGCCAGGATTTCTACACACTACTAAGTTCCAAATAGGTGTTGTGACTACGCCTTATGGTGGTAAATAGCCTTAGCGTGGCTTCACACTATAGATAGATAATCACCTCTATTCTTACTATATACTTCTTCATAGAACATAACAATAAACAATCATTCTACATTAATATAAGATTATTAAGTATATATTATTTCTAATAGATTATGAGCCCGGAATTCCGTTACCGTAATCTCTACACTATTAACTAGAAATATTCACTTATTTAATAATTTAGTATTATGGAAGTTAAATAAACATTCCTATATTCTTACCATACATTTTTCTATCCACTCTTTCATCCTTTCTTTAACAGATAGCCATATAAGATGACTACGCAGGCGTTCAATATACACATAGCTACATTAACTTAGATCTAAAATTTTCTAAAGTTTAAAAAGTAGGAAAACTACCAGCCTTGATTAAAGAAGATAAAGAGTATCTTAAAGTACTATGGCCTATGGGACGTAGTGAAATAAGGATCAATACTATTTCCAGACGACCTATTAGAGAAAATTATTGTCACGGATACACTAGCTAATAAAACCCACCGTATAAGAAATATCATATTGAGACCTATTAACTAGCAGATTTTAACTTATAATATCGAGATAAAGGCCTAGAAGGACCTTAACAATCAAGCATCGAAACTCATCTACTCGATATGTGAAAATAAATCAATCGAAGTAATAGAAGATGAGGAGGTAATTATAATAAGATAGATTAGACTCTAAACTAACTACATCGACTTCGAATTTATACTTCGCTTTATTAAGTTATAGAAACTATAAAACATTATTATAACTAATAATAATAACTCGATTAAGATCTATATTACTAATATATATATAAAATTTAAGAACCTTAAGCGTATAAGAGCTTTAATCGATAAATGAATCCTTGTTACCCTATTATTGAACAATTTAAACGAAAAGTATAAGAACTTCGTATACCGTCTTATCACACAACTTGATAATATATCAGACTTTAACAAAATTATCATACTTCTTTATAAAGAAGATCATCTTCTTAAGCGAGATAATAAGGAATAAGCTATGACTATTATTATAAAGAAATATTATAAGGAATAGGAGGATAAGAAGGCCTTTAGAGATAATAACAATTTAGGATATAAGGATAATACTTTAGAATAAGGCCGGAGTAAAAACAACGATAGAAATAACAACTACAACTTTAATCCCTCGTTAAATAACCCGAATAGTATCTACTACAAGAGATCAGGTAACGCATCTAAGTGTCCAAAGTACCCACCACTACCAAATAAAAGCAAGAAGAGGCATTAATCATATAGCTACTAAACCCTTCATAATAAAAAGATATCTAATCGATTTTAAAATAACAATAATAATAATAATAGTAATAACAATTCGAACTCTAAGCCCAAAGCGAATATAACCAATACAACCAATAGGCCGGACGATTTCATAGACTAAAACTACACTCACATTTCAGTAATAGTCTACACCATAATCGATAATGGGGATACTATAAGAGACGAAGAGTATTAGGGCTACCCAGCCAACAGCTTAATATCTAAATTAGATGAAGAAGTGATAAACAAAGAGCTCGAAATTAAGTCTCTCGATTATCTCTTAGTCGAAATAGCTAAATCGCAAGAATTATAAGAGAACGTAGGGAATTAGTTAACACCTTAGCTTGACGCCAGCCCAAAATTAGATAATGAGATAAGTTGAAAAGCTGAAAATATCCTTAATTCTCTATCTAATTCTTTAGAGAACGAAATAATTAACGAATTATTATATAAATCCTTAACTCACTTTCTCTCCTATATAGTATATATAGATAATTAATCTACTACTATATACGAATAAATAATGAACTTAGATTATACTAATCATATATTCTTCGATAAGAACGAGTTCACCGACTATTAGTTATATCGTGCAGGTATTATAATAGCTAATAGAATTATTATTTAGATGTAAGGCCGCGGTACAGTCGAAATAAAATGATTATTATAGAATAAATCTAGTAACATCGTAAAAATCAGTAAAGTCTTATATATTCCGAATCTTATATACGAATTATTTTCGATTAGTCAAGTTATATAAAAAGAATTTAAAATCACCTTTCTTAGTAATAACTACTATATTCTTTAAAGTAGCAAGCTTATTAATAGCGCACCGAAGGTAAATAATATCTATATTCTCAGTATCTCACAATCTATAACCAAGGTTTCGATATTTATTCAGAAGAATATAAGAATTTTAACAATAAGCCTAATGTTTAACGAGAAAGCTATCGAGCTATAATATCGTCGAATAAAACACCTAAATAAGGCGGACCTTAAGAGACTAATTAACATAAGCAAGGGCATCACACTAACTTAGAAACCTCGAGTTAAACTAATATATAAGGCCTATTTTAAAACCAAATCTATACGAAAGATTTCAAGAAGAGTATAATATAAGGTACTCGAAAAACTCGATAAGATTTATATGAACTTAGAAGAACCTTTTAACGTATCATTCATCAATAGAGTTAAGTACTATATACTTCTAATCGATTAAGTAACCCTCCGAACCTAATACTTTACGTATAAGCATAAGAATGAGATCTTTAAGTTATTCTATAACTGGAAAACTTAGATGGAAAATAAATCCGGTTATAAGGTCAAGATAGTTCGTTTAAATAATGGTACCGAATTTATTAATAGTGAGTTTAAAGAATACTTTAAGAACTCCGAAATCATATAGAAGCCTATCGTACTCTACACGCCTAAGCAAAATAGACTTAGCGAGGTATAAAATCGAATTATTATAAATAAGATAAGGGTTATACTTTTTAACTTGAAGTTATCCTACTATTTGTGATTAGAACTACTTTATATTAAAGTATATTAAAAGAATAGAAGTTCCATCACCCGCCTTTAGAGCATAACACTATACGAGGCATAGATAGACGAACAACTATACCTCGGATATATAAAGATCATCGACTGCGTTATTTAAATATATATATCTAAGGAAAAGCGTAAGAAGCTCAATAAACGTAGTAAGAAATGCTATCTGATTAACTATGAAGATATAAATATCTTTCAGATATAGAATCCAGCCACTCGGTAAGTAAAACGATTCTTTTATATCGATTTTAACGAATTATAAATAATAATTATTACGATCTCAAACACCGGCTATTAGCTAGTTAAGGCTACTAGTAACGATATAATAGATATATTTAATATAGAGAATAACTCTACAGTATATCAATATATACCTAAGACCGTCGTCAATACCGACGCGGGCCCTATTAATATGGATAAAATTAGAAATATCCTTTTTAATAGAAATATCGAAGAAACCGAAGAAGCCGAAGATATAAAAGATAGTAATATAGGCCCAGAAGAATCTAATGACGATAACGTTGAAGAGATACCTCGAGGTAGCTCTATTGTTTACCCAGATCTATATCTTAATACGATATATAATTCTCGACTAAAACGAACTCCTATACCTTTTCAGAAAATTCTTCTAAATAATAAATAGAGTAACACTAAAATATAGGCCTAGAGAGCTATTATTTATATTAAGTATAATAAGACCCTTAAATTGAAACGCCTATACTATAGACAAGCTATACTGAGTTATAAAGATCTAGACCATCATAACTTCGATCCCATCTTCGATCTCGCTGTTATTGTTTAACAAATAACTGATATAAGATGCTAATAGACCACTGCAAAGATTAATAATTTCGAGCCATTAACCTATAACTAGATAATAGCTAGCCCTTATACTAAATAATAAAAAGAGATTATAAATAAATAAATGAATTCCTTTGCCACAATAGATATTTGGAAGCTTATTCCGAGGACGAAGGATATACCAGTTCTTATTAATAGATAAATCTATAAGATAAAGAAGAAACTTAATAACTCTATTCTCTATAAAGTATACTAGGTAATTCGAGGTTTTAAATAAATCTATGGCGTTAATTACGACTAAACCTTTACCTTAGTTATTAAGTTTATATCATTTAAAATACTATTTATAATTATAGCATATTACGATTTAGACTATAAGTAAATAGATGTTATTATCGCATTTTTTAATATACTGCTAAAGGAAATCATCTATATGAAACAGTTTAAAGGGTATGAGAAGAAAGATAACAAAGTATATCTACTACTTAGAGCACTATATGGTCTAAAGCAATCGCCACGAGAATAATACTTTATCTTACAAAACTTCCTTATATCTAAAGAATTCAAACTAACTAAATCTAATTACTCACTTTTTGTTAATGAGAAAATACAACTCATTGTTAGCGTATATATAAATAATATTTAGATTTTTAATCCAAAAGAATCAAAACTGATATCGAAATTTAAACGAGACCTTTATAAACGATTCGCTATAACCAATCTCGGGCTATACTCATATTATTTAGATATAAAAATCTAGAGAAATCGAAGGGAGAGAATCGTTTAAATTACGCAAACGACATATCTAAGAAAGGTACTATCACGATTTAATATAACTAACTATATACCTACCCCTATATTAATAATAGTAAGCACTCAACTATAAGAGGAACTGGTCGATAAGATTAAACCAGAAGTTATTTAGGAGTATCAATTAATGATGGAATTAATAATGTACCTCATGATTCAGACTCATTCAGATATCTATTTTGTCGTTATAATTCTTTCTCGATATAATTATAACCCCAATTCGAAACACATTACAGCCGTTAAACGAGTCATCCATTACCTAAAGAAAACATTAATTTATAGCATTACATATAAGACAACTAATGTATTGGAAGACTATACGGATACTAATTAGACCTCAGACCAAGAGACCCATCGATTTCTTAAAGTCTATATATTCTTACTCTACGGTGGGATAATTAATTAGACATCTAAATAACAATAATTCATTACACTATCATCTTATAAGGCTAAGTATATAGCTCAGACTTAGGCAGCAAAGAAAGCTATTTAGTTAACTAGACTTTTAAGCGAATTAGATATTAGCTTTGAATTACCTAGCAGACTAGTACTAATCAAAGCAGACAATTAGAGGGCCATAGCATTAACAAAGAACCCTCGCTTTTACTCACGCACGAAGTACATTGATATCCAATAGTATTTCGTGCGGGACCAAGTGGAAACGGGGGCAGTCACATTTAAATGGGTTCCTATAAATGAAATAGCTGCGGACGGGCTTATCAAGGCCCTTACTAATAACAAGTTTACCACATTCATAAACCAAATTGAACTCAAGAAGAGTGGATAGGGAGCAGCCCAAATTCGGACTGTGTGGGAGTGTTGGAACTAATAGTGTTTCCAGCCCACCATTTGGACTATATAGGAGTGTTGGAATCAGCCAATAGGAGGCTAGGATTTCTACACACTACTAAGTTCCAAATAGATATTATAACTACGCCTTATGGTAGCAAATAGCCTTAGCGTGGCTTTACACCATAGATAGGTAGTCACCTCCATCCTTACTACATACTTCTTTATAGAACATGACAATGAACAATCATTCTACATTGATATGAGACCATTGAGTGCATACCATTTCCAATAGTACCCTACCAACCGAAGTGTCATCATTGGCTGGAAGCATGGCGGGGCTCGTTAGTGTGCGCATGTGGAGCATGCGTCAGCCATGCATCAATAAGGTAACCCTACTTGATGAGCTGAGGATTTTGTCGCAAGCCTCACCAGATCATCACCGCCATTACCTGTCAGCTTTGGAATCTGGTGATCTAAACGATTTCTGACTCTCTTTTAACCTCAGTGTCTCAAAAAGCTTGGCTAGCCTCTCATCACATGCCAACGCTGTTCAACCATGGAGGTCAACCTTTCCTCCCTTTCACGTCAAATTGAGACAATAAGTAAGCTTCCTCCTGAAGAAGTATCGGAAGCTCTAAGCCCCGATGCCGCGAGGGAACTACGACGGAATCTGAACAGACTGAGCGTCGCTTTGGAGAGTCCCGGGGATATTGTTGACCGTATCGTGTACTCTGTGAGCCCTTTTCATACAAGAGCCCACGTCTCCCTTCGAATGCAACTGCTCGGTGCTGATGCGATGGCTTGGACTAGCCCCTAGACTTGGTCGCGATCCGCCTTGCTGTTGATCTTGGTATATTCAAGATCTTGGCTGACAGCCAGGAACCGAAGAGTATTCAACAACTGGCAGGGGCGACCGGGGCAGACGCAACGCTGCTAGGCCGAATTATTAGATTACTAGCCAGCATTGACGCAGTTGCAGAGGCAGGTCCAGAAACATATGTGGCGACAAAGATCTCAAGGGCCTTTACCACGGCGAAAGGTATCTCTGGCGCAGGATTCTTGTATGTACCTGCTGTGGCATTTTCCAGTCCCACATTTGACCCAAAACTTGCAGCATAGACTGTCTTGTGCACGCTTGGGCCAGCCTTCCTGCTACCCTAGCCAAATCAAATTACCAGAACCCTACAGACCATCTCCACACCGGGCTCCAAGTCGGCTTGCGAACCGACATGCACGCGTTCGAATGGTGGTCCAACCATCCCAAAGTCTTCAACGACTTCAATATCTTCATGACTGCCCAGCGCGAGGGGCGCGCTTATTGGCTCGACTTCTACCCGTTCGAGCAGAAGCTGTTAGCCGAACCTCGTGACAGTGAGCACGAAATCCTCTTCGTCGATGTCGGCGGAGCGCTTGGGAGTGAGATCAGAGAGCTACGGAAGCGATATCCGGCGTTGAAGGGTCGGATGATTCTTCAGGACCGGCAACAAACAATCGATCACGTCTCAGCGGACTCTGGAATGGAGGCGATGGTGCACGATTTCTTCACGCCACAGCCTGTTACTGGTAAGGTTTTCTCAATATCTTCTTCCATGAATTACAGCGAGCACTCTCCCTGTCCTGAACATACTCCTTGATCTCCACCGAATGCTCGCAAGATCCCCATTTTTTCTCTCGCCTATCGTCTTCTAACAAATGTCGCCTAACACCTTCTTCAACAGGCGCACGATTCTACTACCTCCGCAACATTCTCCACGACTGGCCTGAGCCCCTCGCACGCCTCATCCTCCAACATACTAGCTCGGCCATGACACCCGGCACGTCTAGGCTACTCATCAACGAACTCGTCGTTCCGCTCCGAGGCGGTGGACCTTTCCCACCGCACTCGGATTTCAACATGATGTCAATCGTCGCCGGGATGGAGAGAACGGAAGCTCAGTGGAAGGAGCTACTTGGGAGTGTCGGACTGGAGATTCAGGAGATCTGGACAGGGGACGGGGAGACCGAGAGCATCATTGAGGCTGTTGCCGCTGTTCGGGATGGGACGAGACCTTGACGACTAGCGAAGCGTGAGAGGTGAAGTTCTTAAAACAGATCATTGACAAGGTTCCATGATGCAAAGATCTAACGCAATCGCCTTCCTCGCGGGTCCTCAGCGCCTTTATAATGGAACCATGATATCTAGCATACCATGAGGCCATGAAAGCGCCGATGCCTTGTCTTTGGTGTGAGCCACGACTCATCAAAACCGAAACCTTTGAGGTCGTGGAAGCATGTGGTAGGTGCGTACGTAACGTCGAGGCGCTATTGTGTTTTCCACCACTCGCCGTGATTTACTTTTATCGGAAGTGTCCGAGTTTCTTTCCCCGGGCACTGAGAGCCGTTCTTCGGGATTCACAGACGAGTCGTAGCAGCTGTAACGCTCAGTCTCAGCACCCTCGTGGACAACAACTCTCTCACTCGCTGCCGATGCCGTAGCTTCATTCTCGCCAGGAGATATAGGAACGGAATCAAACCAGTATCGAAAAGGACGAGACCGAATCCCAGACACACATCACAAATCGACGACGCCGAAGGCTATGAAACAAGGCGGCGCTGTACAAAGTCACTTGTGGCTTCAAGGATTGAGTCCATGAGGTGAATGCTGAGTTCTGGTGTGCTGTGACTCTTCCGCTGGCCCGAGGTAGGACCGGGCTCCGGTAGCAACGATCCCTATGTATGTGTGAGTAATTGTGGACTCGCATGGTTTGTAGGTTTCGCCACTTTTGAAAAGGGGTGTTTGATTGGTCGCTGAGGCGAACATGACCGTGTGTATTGCTCGTGCTGAGAGTCAGCTTCCTGGCACTTGAAGGGTGTATTGGGATGTGGTGTAGGTTGTGTGCCATGAGCATGATCCTGATGATGTAAGGATATGATTTCTTCTGGTATGCAAAGCTATGATACGTTCATAGGTTTTGAAACAACGGTTTTTCAGTGGAGCTTTGCTTCCCAAGCAAAGGATACTGCTCTCCATGCAACGCCAATAGTCTTGGTACACTCTCTTTCCCTTCCCTTTTCCCACTTTTATTTATTCACTCTAATCCTGCCACACATCCACGCTCTCCTTCCTCCTCTTCTTCGACGGCGTTTCACAGATGTCTTGGTAGTTTTGAGCTAGGGATCTCTTGTATCCTCTGTGACCTGTTGACGGAGGAGTCGGCAGCTGCGAGGTTTCGTCCGTTCTGCCTTCCTGCTTGGCCAGACTTTTAGTGCAGGCAACTTCTTCCAGCTGGTCCAGGAGCTGGGAGCTGTGGTCTGGAATCAGTCTGTCCTTCTGTGGCGATGATGGTAACCCGAATCGGGAACCTTTCCCAGCTGGGGCACTTCTGTTCTCCAAAGGCTTTTTCTTCTTCGGTGTAAGGAGGACTCGGGGTTGTGTAGATTTCTGTAGACTGGAAACGGAACCAGTCATCCAATTCTCTTTGTCATTCGACGGCTTGGCTGCCACGATCCCATGTGCGACGGCCTTCGGTATCTGCTTGTCATTTGCCTTCATTACCTGCATACTCAGCCTTGGTTGTGTCTGAAATATATCCGGTCGATGCCTCCTCATCGAGTGAACCCAGGCGTCGCAGTCCATGGACACCCAATAGTCCAGTACATCCTTCCATACACTTGCCGAGGGCTTTGTCAGATTAATAAATATCACCATCCCCTTCCCTCCAGCTCTCGCATGGACAGCCTTAGCGAACTCTCTGACCATAGTCTTAAGCCCATGTACATGGAGCGATGTGCCCAAAATCAACAACACATCCGGCTTCATTTTTAGATCTGAGGCAGTAATGTCTCCCACGGCATCAGCCGATGGATGTTCCTCTCCGTAGAGCACAATATTCGGCCTCAAGGACCCAATCTTTGTTCCGCGCTTCCCTCGATTCTGCCGATCCTGGTTTGCCGCCGCACAAAGCTGACATGTTGGAGCCTTTCCAGCAAGCAGCCGCGTACTATGTCGGTCTTCCCATTCGCATGTCTGCTGGCAAAGCGTACACCTCAAGACTCTCAAGTCCCCGTGCAATTGCACAACTTCACATCCACCGTCGAGGTCAGCCCCCGGCTGCGTCCGTGATGGCAATCTCTGACCCTCCATTGATTTCTTGGTGAACCGCGTTCGACTGCCCTTTCCCTGGGTCATATCCGTATTCAATCCTTCCATTGCCTCCAACCCATCGATATTCTGCGTGTAGCATCTAACCAACTTCCGCGAGTCTCGTAGGGTCTTTATGAAGCGATGAGTAGATGTGGCTTTCTTGACTTCTTCGTGTATTTTCTGGCGGAGGGATGCGATGAAAGTATAGAAGACTGAGGTGCTGATGGGATCCTTCCATAACTGGGCGTCGAAGAGGTCTTTGCCTTTGACGTTATTGGGAATCGAGGGAGGTATAGACTTTGACTTCGTGGAGGGAGAGGGAGGGCTGGAGGATTTCCTTATCGTACGACCAGAGATTGCGCCTAAGGGAACAGCATCGCGTTGGGCTTTTATGAGGGAGTAGAGTCCTTCTTCTGAGCGGAAGTCCTACAGCGGTAATTAGTATAATGGGTGAAGTGGGGCGGCTTCAAGCTTACTGGTATGCCACAGTTTGTAGATATACCGGCCCCTGTGAACACAACAACTTTCTTTGCTGCTGCTAGTGCGTTGGCGATATTCTGAAGCTGACGATTGTTCTCTGGTGTGACTTGGAGGATAGGCATTTTGAGGGAGATATCAAAATGCAAGCTCAATCGGATTTGATGTTGAATCGAAATACTCAGACTACCTTGGGTTACCGATGAGGCTGCTGAGAGATACAATGGTACAGGCTCTGGTTATGCGTAGCTGCGGATAATGCAGTGTTCCCAACGAGTCCAACGACGCGACTTGAACAGACGCGCCTTATCTTAGCGCACCTGTTATTCACTTAGTATTGCATAGAGTGATACTTGGCGCCAAGGCGAAAAACGATGCCTCACCAAACAAGATGGAATGGAAGTGTTTGATATGGCTAGACCTTGCTGTCACTAAGTTAATAGTTCAGAAGCCAGAGTTGTAAAGGGCATGTGCACGAGGTCCATATATATAATTCCTAGCTTACTCCCAGCAAGATGAATTTCATCAGTCATCCTTATTCTCGTTCATTGCACCATGGCCATTCTTTCTTGCCTGGGTCTTGTCCAGAGGCCAATCCAACATCCCCTGCCTATCTAAGTAGTAGGTTTTCGAAATTTCATTGCTCCTATCACGCTCGCTCCAACCATCCCCAAACCAGCCAAATTCGTTGCCATCAACGTACTCGTAGTCAAAGTCCTCCCATCGTACCTGGTCTAGGGCCTGGATAGCATGCAAGCTGCTACCAGGCCATAAAGCTGTCACCCTGCCGTCTTTGCCAGACTTGTACCAACTGCTACAGTCCTCGCTGAAGACAGTGCCCTTGAAGTACTCATCACAGAAGTTGGCGAAGCGATTGACAGCGCTAGGTTTGGGCTGCATGCTGAGGATGTTTTGCGTTTGTATTTTAGCCAGGCAAGATGCGAAGTAGGTGGATTGGCGTTCTAAGATCATGATGAAGTTGCCGGTGCCGAGAGCGCTATTGGGGCCGACGGACATGAAGTAATTGGGAAAACTGTCAACCATCATGGAGAGGTAGCTTGATGTACGCTCGCTCCATCTGTCAATTAGCGAAGTGCCATTAATGCCATAGACCGGAAAGCGATTTAAAAAGCTGGTGTCAAAACCTGTCGCACAGACGATTGCGTCAACCGGGCGGTGGGTGCCATCATAAGCGGCGATGCCAGTCGATGTGACGTGGGAGATTGAAGTCGGAATGACAGAGACATTGTCGGCAGTTAAAGCTTCAAGGTAACCTGGGCCTGGTGTAAGGCGCTTGCACAAAGGCGGAAAATCTGGCAGTATATGGTCGGCCACTTCAGGCTTCTTGCCCAGGCGGTCGCGCATCGATTGAGTGAAATATTCACGGGCATCTTTTTGTGCGTCGCTTCCACGCACAATGACGTTGTGGCCGCCCTGGAGTTCTGCTTCAATGTTCTTGCGAAAGGTTAGATACGAAGCGGGATCCTTCCGCCATTCGTCCTTCTCTTCTTCCGTGAAATCAAAGTTGCCAGCTGCGCCATGGCGCTTTTCAATCTCACCTCTGGCGAAGGTCCCAGCTATCCAAGTTCGTCCTCGGATGTAGTGATCGAGGTGCTGCACTTCTGGTTGCAAGCTTGGCACGATCTGGATGCCGCTCGATCCAGCTCCGATGACGGCGACTTGCTTGCCCTGTTGACGTTTTCAGCAATTTGCACTGAAGGACTTTTGAGAGATGTTCACATTGTAATCATAGCTTTCATCCCACGCCGCGCTGTGTAACAGCTTTCCTCCAAAGCCGTGCAGCCCAGGGATTGGCGGCCATCTCCACTCATTCAAGGCCCCAATGGCTGTGATCAATGCATCTCCTTGATCCTCAAATACTACTCCCGTCTTGACATTTTCGAGCTTGACTCTCCACTTCGCTGCGCCTTCGTTCCATCGTGCCTCCAGCGCTTTGTATCCCAGCTTCATGTATTGGCGGCAGTCGTATTTCTCAGCCACCCGCTTCCAGTATTCCAAAATCTCGGGGGCTTTAGCGTAAAAGGAAGTCCATGCTGGATTGGACTCGAAGGACAGCTGGTAGCAGTGAGCGGGTATATCTATGGCGCGATCAGCCGTAGCCTCATGAATTTGGAAGCTTTAGTACTCACCACAAGCACATCCAGGGTACTTGTTCTCGAACCATGTTCCTCCCAGCTCCTCGTTCTTGTCATATATGACGAGATCGAGTTTTCGTACCACCTGAGGTAGATTGATTGCAGCAAGAATCCCTGATACGCCGGCTCCAATACAAATGACTTTCAGTGGCCTGACAGTATCAACGCTCCGGTTTGATATTATTGATCTCGACGTTAGAGGTGTGGCAGAATGCATTATGAAGGAGTGATGTTATAAGAAAAGATGAGACAGGAGCAATGAGTCCATCGATTTGCTTCAGCGTTACACTGGCAGTG